ACTAGATTTACTTCTTTCTCCTAAAAGCATTGCACATTATGTGGCACACATAAAGTGGCACATCACCCATAAATGGTGCTGTCAAAGAAAATCCACCTCCTCAGCTTTTGTACATTGCTTTTTTGAATTTCCCATAGATGCGCTCCAATTGTACAGCGAAGAAAGCATTCAGAAGTGGCAACTGCATTCTGCTTTGGTGGGTTTTATTTAGGGTCATTGCTAATACGCGTCTCCTCTACTACCACAACGACCCCACTGCAGACTTTAGCTTATGTAATGGGAGAGTGGTTGGATGTTTGTAGTGAGGATTAGCGGTGCTGTCTGAAACATGAAAACTCTAAATATGTATCATAGAAGTCTGCCCTGCACTGCTGCCGATACAATACCAACTGGACTAATGAGGGAGTTTGCCCTGAAAGCACTTGTTTTGACATATGAGATGGGGGAAGGGTAATACAGTTTTTTCAAGGGGCGGGTGTAATTTTTATAAAAAACTTTTCACCATCCAAACTTTAATAAAACTTTCAAGGTTCAAGGACCCCCTCCCCACCTCAGTATGTTTGTGCAGTTATCTAGTATGCATAATCTAATTATTGTTGTTGTAATTAGACATTTCTTAGATGTTGTAATGGAGCATTGGATGAAAACAGAAGAATTAAAATCACAGAAACCTCCACTGCTGTTACAAACAATATGAGAAAACTGTTACATGACCCTGTGTTGTCTAATCTTACTCTCCCTCCCCATTTCTCTCACATACACAAACACAGGCACTCCTCCGACATACAAGTGCTGACATGGAGAAACAACATATTAATAATTCATAAAATAACCAATGTCAACGCCTTCACAGGCAGTCTTGCTCCATTTCTCTTTCTCTTTCTTACTGCTGTGCTTCACAAATCCATATTACTGAGGCTACTACTATGCAGTAATGTAGATGCACAGGAGCTAATTTGACTACCCTGGAACAAGTGAAAAGATAGAAAAAGAGAAATCGAAAGAAGAGAAGTACAGTTCAAACTAACTAGCAGAATTTACAGATTTCGACAAGTTGTCTTCGGCTGCTGTATCCTTAGAATCAAATACAGACACTAAGAGACAGATGGTTTTTAACCTAGAAATAGAGAACAGACGCGCGTGTTTGTTAAAGAGACAATTATGAATTCAGCCTGGGGGTTGGCGCGTGATCAAATCACTGTGCCTCTGTGATGTTTCCGCAGCTTTGATCTCTCCGCGTTAACTCTTTCTGTGTGTCTACCTCGTGCCAGCAGTAGCCCCGGCCTGGGTTAAAGGCCCATATGATTTGAAAGCGCTTCCTGTTGACCTCTAGGCAGACTCAGTGAAATGGTTTTGGCATGCGAGTTGTGAAGTGGATTCTTTTCACAACTGTAGGCCTGGGGTTCAAACCTTTACATAAAATGATGAAATGATGAGAAGAGGATAACCTAATCTGCTGTTGCATGTCTCTCTTGTCACAAAGCAGGTAATGTGATGTTGGAGAAGCAGCTTTAGTGCACAATTGGACTGTTTTTTTTCTGACTGTGTGAAGTGTGGACCTTACTCTGGCAGGCGCTCATGTTTCCTAGAGTTTCCATGTAATGCACTGATTTCACATAAAAACTGTAAATGGGTTTGATTTTGTTGGAATATAACCACCAACAACCTACCCCGCAGTCTGTATTTTTCAGCACCATGGAGAGCGACAGGCCCACATTGGAAACGCAGCCCAGTGCTCCACTAAATATTTTATTTACTCAGACATTACTGATTGTATATGCTTCCAAGAAATCATGAAAAAGCAAATAACACACACACTGCTTCACATATATTTACTCACTCACACACTCAGTTGCCAGTTTCTTATGTACACCAAGCTAAAACTAATGCAGTCTGATACAATGACCCTGCAGTACATCTTACCTTTATGAAGGTTATAATGGTCAGATTCAGAGAGCTGTTGATTCAACTTTATGTTTGGAGGCTGTAGTTTGTACTGTTGGTAGCTATAAAACTGTGTGTAGTTCCATTCAATACTTTACAAATGAGAAACAAATATGTGTAAAATACTTTTTCTTGATTCCCACACTGGGATGAGTGACATCTGAAGTTTTAATATTATCTTTTTGTCTGTTTGGTGAATATGAAGCTACAGCCAGCAGTCAGTTAGCTTAGCATAACATAAAGAATGGAAACTAGGAGCCTATCAGCATCTCTAAAGCTCACAAATGAACATGCTGTATCTGGTTTGTGTAAAAACAGTGTTTTATGGGGGTGTTTTTCCCGACTATTTCTTTACCAGGAGCAGTGACTTCCTGGAGTCTCCACCGGGTAACCTGGCAACCTCAAGCTGACGACAGACAAAATAGTGCCACGAACCCCCTGTAAAACAGCTATGGTTTAAAGAAGGTATAATGAGATAAGTGATGAGCTTCAGGGCTACTGGCAGGCTGATTTTTCCTTTGGACACACAGGTTAGCTGTTTCTCTGTCTTCAGTCTGTATGCTACTCTAAGCTAACCACTTACATATTGAACAGACAGGTGTGAGAGTGGTATCTTTTCATCTAACTCTCGGCAAGAAAGCGAATAAGCATATTTCCCAACTGTTGAACTATTTGTTTAAGGATATCATTGCCAATTAAACAAAGAAATGTAGCTATGATCCTGATTTAGTATGTATATGAGTATAATTTATTTTGTAACTTTTCCGATGTGAACTGGAACAGGCTGCATCCTCAGAACCTGCTTATAATTAGTATGTGGTATGGATTTGGGACACAGCTATTGTTTTGGTTATGCTGCAATCAGTTTGGGGTTTCCTCATTCTAAACATCAACTTTTCAAAAATCTTATTACCAAAAATGTGGCCTGTATCAGAAACACCATCACACATAATCACAGGTAATGCCTGTCTGTCTCAGAATACTCAGGGAGGACTGTCTCTCTTCTTTGTTGCCCTGTGTCTCACTCTCCTGCTCAAGCATGCTGGCGGCCATTTATTGACATGGTAACCTTGTCAAGCTGTTGCATGGCTGTTTGTGTTTGTGTTTGTGTTTGTGTGTGTGTGTGTGTGTATGTGTCTATGTGTGTTCTTTGATCTGTCTGTCATATGGTCGTACAGCTGTGTACTGACATGATTACAAAGGCGCTGGCCAGATGTGCTGGCCAGCTGTTTATGTCACAGGCTCTGTTTTTTGTTTATGTGTGTGTATGAGGGATAAAAGGCTGCCTATCGTCCTAATGAGGAGGGCAAGGTTCAGGAACAACACCACCTCTAGCTGAAGTTTTTTGAACAACGCTGTGAATGTGCTTCTTGTGCCTGTATGAGTGTGTTTGAGTGTGTCTTAGAACGTAAGCAAGAATATGATTGGCTGAAAACATTGGCTTCATTCAGCACTTCCCACTTCACTGACACTTGAGCCCACAAGGGAACTGTTTGTGTGTGTTTGCGACAGAGACAGGGAACGTGGTTGCAGTCCTTATTTGGTCATGGAGTTTGGTTAGAGCGAATGCGTTTGCTACAGAATGAATCAGAGTGCTGTTACATCAGAGGTACGGGCAGGCGGGATGGATCACTTGCACTCCTATTGGAACACACACTTCCGTTTGAGTGCGTGTGAGAGAGAGAGAGAGAGAGAGAGACACAGAGAGAGGAATGATGGAAACACACACACACTATGATGCCCTACTTTTCAGCTACATGGGGATGTAAGGACTTTTATGCAGCCGCGGGTGCCGGTAGTACAGAGGCATGGTGTGAATGAATGAGAATGGATGGACAGACAAGAGGAAGCCACTCCCGTGTACAGTACTACTCCTCAGCTTATTGCCTTGTCAAGTTATCTGATCAAAAATACGACTGTATACACATACCAGAGAGAACGTGAAGTCCAGAAACTGTCTGCTTCGCTGATACTGCCGTTACTACTACATTACTGCGGGGAGATTTCTCAAACTTATTTTCAAGTCAAAAATCATAATCTCTTGTCAATAAGAATCACTTTATAACCAGTACATACATAAAAAAAATGTATGTGCTGTGGAAATATTGTAAATTGTGATACTGAACATTAACAAGAATAAAGTTACACATACTGTACCTTTCATTCAGCCATAGCCAGATTATCCTGTTAGAGGCTCTGAGGCAAACAATTGCTGTTGAGTCCCACACACATTTATTCAGGGGTATGAACCAGGTAAGCCCACTATAAAGTAAAATCATGTTTAAGAGTGATGTTTTAAATAGGTCTGGTGTTGTGCCTAATGACTGCTGGTTCCACCAGTTAGAGAAAATTATTGACCAATCACTGCTTAGTAGGCGGGATTAGTCATCTTACGTACCACCTAGCTAGCCCTCGTTATTTTTCCCCATTTTGTATCAAGACCATCATCGTGATTAGATGCTAGCTCCACCAGTTTTTCTGTTGAATTTTTGGCAAGTCCTGCTAGTCAGGATACTGACACTGACAATAATGTAAATATAATACTAACAGAAGGATAAAAAATATATTTATATCTACAGAGGGGATAACTCAGTTTAACTCTATGCAATTTAACCCCTTGTTCATATAGGCTAACACCTGCTTCTCAGCGAATCATGTATTCAGCTCAGTTCACCAGACGTACATTTACCAAACCAAGCAGTTAGTCTTCATCCTTAAGGTGTTTTGTCTTCTAAAACCTAAAAAGACAAAGCATAAATCTCACCTTTGTCTTGTTGTTCTAGTAGTCATCCTGTGTATGCAGCACCAAAGTTATAAACAAGTTCGTCACTGACGTTTTATTCATTTTAACATATTTACTTTATACAAAAGTAGAGATTATACAGATGTGATATAAGAGGATTCACAGTCAGTTTGGTAAAACAAACAAACCAAAAAACACCCAACTTGAAAGGCAGCCACAAGGAACCACCCCAGCACCCCAATCAGGTCTACTACAGCAAACAAATTTAGAACTGGTATTGGTAATTTTTCTCTTTTTTCTCTTCTTTCTCTAGGGACATTTCAGGGCCAGTGGGTTGGCGGAATGCGACATGGCTACGGAGTTCGTCAAAGTGTCCCGTACGGCATGGCGGCCGTCATCCGCTCTCCGCTCCGTACCTCCATAAACTCTCTACGCTCCGGTTCGGAGCACAGCAATGGTACAGCTCTGCTGGACCGGACCGGGGCGGTGGTTCCTGGTCCTTCTCCTGTTCCTGGCACTCTGACCACCAGCGTCTCCATGTGCAGTACAGGCAGCAGTGGCAGCAGCCCCGCTGTGTCTCGTGGAGGTTTTGTGCTGACGGCACATAGCGAGGCTGAGCTACTGAAGGGGAAGAGAAAAGGCGGGCTGTTCCGGAGGTCAATCCTGTCTGGGCTCAAGCTGAGGAAGTCTGAGTCCAGGAGCTCTCTGGCCTCCCAGAGGTCTAAACAGAGCTCATTCAGGAGCGAGGCTGGAATGAGTACTGTGTCCTCTGCTGCTTCTGATATCAACTCTACTATCAGGTAATACCAGATGTAGTTGATTGATGGGTTGGGGTGGGCAAGCTCTACTGCAGGTCAGCTTTAACATTTTAAGCCTCTTTCACTTACCATCATATATAGAAATTCTATCCAATTTTCGGGCAACCAACCCAAATCTTCCTTAAAGAGGTGGTATTATGCTCATTTTCAGGTTCAAAATCCTATTTAGTGGTTGTACCAGAATAGGTTTACATGGTTTAATTTAAAAAATACACCATATTTTTGTCATACTGCACATTGCTGCAGCTCCTCTTTTCACCCCGGTTGAAGGCTTCATTTTAGCTATGGAGTGATACATCTTGTCTCTAAATGATCTTTGTTGGGAGTTGCACATGCGCAGTTCCTAGTTAAGGACTACTAGCCAATCAGAAGTAGAGAAGGGCGGGTCAGCGAGAAGCCCATAAACAGCTTTGATTCAGCTGTAGGCTACATGTTGCCGACCAGCTTGGCAACATGGACTGAAGCAAGAGTTTCAGAGTGGTGAGTTATTAATCTGTAACAAAAGTATCTTTCATCCACTGAGCTCTGTCTCTACATCACAGTATAGCTGATGATACACAGAGCAACTTTTAGAGCAATGCCATCAATGGTAATGAGTAAAGATTACTACCTTAATCCCCTTCCCCCACCACTCCGCCACCCGCCCCGCACCGCCGCTATCCGTTCAAAACATTGTCGGACTTGCCACTAGCAAGATTGCCCAACAACATTGCTCAAAAACGTTGTGTGTATCATTAGCTTAACAACTTTATGTCCATTGATTGCCTGGAGGGTAGCTAATGTTTGGAAGGGAGAGGACAGGTGTGTGCTGCAGCTCAGTGTTTTTCCACTGGTGTTTTTGAAGGCGTGTTGGACTAGCCGCTTGGTGAGCGTTATATGAGGCGCATTTAGCTTTCATCTCTGTGACGTCACAGGGATGAAAGGGGAAAAGGCTGGACTACAAACGAGCTGTTTTCAGGCAGTTCAGAGCAGAGTTTTCTGTGGGAGATGGGAACTCCCTTTGGGCTGGACTTTGGGCTTTTTCACTTTGCAAACCTGTTACATGCACAAAAAAGATATATAACTCAATAAAGGAGAGGAAAAAGCCAAAAAGCATAATACCATCTCTTTAAGTGTTCAAGTCATCAAGTCCCTTGGCCCCTGCTTCATGCAGAAACATCTCACAGCAGTTTCAAGGCCATTTCATGGGACTGTTAAATCCTACATACTGTGCTGGCTGACACTGAGAATAGTGCTTCATATCAACTCTGTCATGAGGTAATAAAATGAATGGAAGTGGGGAGAAAGGTGGAGTGACAGGACAAGGAGGGATGACGTAGTTAGAAAGGGAACCGCCCTTCATCTGGAGGACATCAAGGCAACAACAAGCACGGCTCCTACTTCAGAGTCTTTAAAATAGATTGGCATGCAGTCCAAAGTGGCCTATAGGTCAAATAGGTCACTTTGCTGGTCAGCTCGTTCAGAGCCTGATTAAAAGCTTCTGGTTTTACATTGTGTTACCCAGTGAAAAGCCTGTCATCTTTGTCTCTCTGCTCTGCTGTTGTCTACTCATCTTTTTTTTTTACATCTTCAACACATCAGCTCAGTCAGTCATAGTGTGGACATGCTGGTGGGTGCTGTATCGTGTAAACTGCTTGAATGTGTTGAATCAATCCTGTGCCATCATTGGAAATGCTTAGCGTAAAATTCCAAGTACACTGGATTGAGGTGGCTTATTTTTAAAGGCACCAATTACTAGACGACAAGAGTCAGCAGCTCCTAACCTGTTTGCTGGCAAAGCGGCTGACAGCAGCTTATCAGGTCTGATTAATTATTGGCACGGCGGATGAGGATAGAAACATCTAGTTTTTTCCATTCTACTGCTGTAAACATGATAAAATACAACATTTAGATTTCATTTGTATTTAATGTATTGCAATTGATCAATTATTTATTGATGTGTTAGTTGAGTGAGTTAGTGAATACTAACTGACTGATGAGTCAGTTAGTATTTCTATTATTTGATGGTGCATGTTATGAACATAATATAGTGATAAATGCTGGGCCAGTGAAAACATAACTAAAGGGAAGTAACGCTCTAGTAGGCAAGATGAAAACAAGCCTATGTGAATCCTAGTTGAGCAAGACTCTTATTTCCCTACCAACTTCAGATGAACTGTGCAGTGGCTAACCATGAGGGAGTGTTACACCAGGGATTGGTATGGTATGAATAGACAGAGACAAGGGAATGGGGGAAAATATCTGTGGATCATTGTGGGTGTATTCTCTGTACTCAGTTTCTTTAGATGTACATTTCTCATATGAAGGAAGAAGATAGGGAAACAAGAGATGCATTCTCAACTTTGGATAAGGAATTTTTTGTTTTGCACAAAAATTATTAGAAGAATAGTTTAACATTCTGGGGAATGCCCTTATGTGCTTTCTTTCCAAGTGAAGATGAATATCAATCTCATGTCTGTGTGACAAGTTTGTAGACTTGACTCAGGCTTTGGTTAGCCTAGCTTAGCATACAAATGTTTGTGGTTTTAGGGGGAGATCCATGCTGGAAGTATTTCTTGGAAAACAATAGCCTGGTTCCGGGACTCATGAACTTGACAGGATAGGTACCATCGTGCTTGTAAAGACAAACCTGTGCTCACAAATCATACCTGGCGACAAGGCCTGAACGATTAATCGTTTTCAAATCTAAATTGATTTGAAGATTTGAAAGAACGCGATTAGCTAATCGTGACGACAGCGATTAAAATGTAGGTTAATTATACAGCACATCTGACCCGTTTTAAACAGTCATGCAGTTAAAAGTTAATTCCGTTGTCATCCTTGAGCGATAGACCTGTTCACCAATCACAAGTGCCATGCTTTTACATTTTACAGCAACAAACAAAACTAGAGGAAAACGTGAGATAATGGTGTCAGCTGAACAGACACAGGCGCGGCTGTCTCGCATCAACTCACACTGAAGTGTTTCAGCAGTGGAGCGTTTAGCATACACCTTGTTAACATGTTGTTAATTTGTCATTTTGTGTTGTCCTACCACCGATCACAGCTCTCTGTGAGCCCATTTCACGCTGCTCTGTGCAGGCTACATTTCAGAATAAGAGCGTTTTGCCTGCTGACTTGTTTAGATTTTGTTAATTTGTTGATTTATTGTTGATATATGATTGGGAGTCTGCACACTGTTTTATTTAGAAAATCAACCGGTTTCTCTCTGCCGTTCTGCTTGACGTGGTTTCCGTCAAAAACTGACTGGCAGAGAATATTGATCTTTAGCTAAACTTTTTTTAAAAATCGAATCGTTATTGCAGTATCTGGCAGAAAAACCCATGCTGTAACGAGCGATGCTGCACAGAAGTACCAAGCAACTGGATAAACTCAAGAAATAGCTCCAAACGGAACTGAACCTAGACCTAAATTGTCAATAGTAATAATAGTAATTTTTACATTTCTGTTGGTGTATAAATTAAACAAACGAGATCCAACATTGCTTAAGCCATTGGAAATGATGGGTTTCAGAGGGCAGTGGTACTGTTGTCACATTGGGTCTTAATGTGCCTTCCAGTCTTTATGCTAAGCTAAGTTAACCACTTCCCGATGCCAGCTTTACACTTGACACACACAATTACAACATTGGGAGGCTGAGATGATACAGTTGAGTGACTTCAGAGAGCATTGTGTAGTGTGTACTCAGCAGCCTCTAACATTAAAGGTGCTATCTTACCATTGTGTACAGCACTCTTTCTGCCATGTTATGGTAGAGCTCTCATAGCTTACCTGGCAAACAAACCTATTATCGTTCTTCTCAAAGTTTGTGTAGGATGTAGGACTACTAACTGAATACGCCAGCCAAACCAATTGAACCTTTCCCCTTTCCAGTCTCGGAGATGCAGATGCAGAGTTGGCGGTCGCTGACGACGATGTGGACGCCACGGCAACAGAGACATACTGCGGGGAGTGGAAGAACGACAAGCGGACAGGGTTCGGTGTGAGTCGACGGTCCGACGGGCTGCAGTACGAGGGGGAGTGGCTGAGCAACAAACGCCACGGCTACGGCTGCACCACGTTTCCTGATGGCACAAAGGAGGAAGGGAAATACAAACAGAACATCCTAGTGAGCGGCAAAAGGAAGAACTTGATCCCCCTCCGGGCCAGTAAGATCAGGGAGAAGGTGGACCGAGCTGTGGAGGGAGCGCAGAAGGCAGCCGACATCGCCCGGCAGAAGGCTGAGATTGCTCTGTCCAGGTAGTGGCTTTATGGTGGTTTCTGGATGAGTCTGTATGTCTGTCTTTCTTGTGTTTTTCATTTCCCACCATCCTTTGGTTGAAGTGAAAAGCCATGCATTCTAGTGGTGGTCTGTGTGTACGCTGGCTAGGCCGTGTGGTTAGTGTGCAATTTAAACTGACAAAGACCTTAAAGTCCCTGAAAACCTATTTTCTCAATTAGCTTCTTACTGTGAAGGAAGGAATGCATTTCTGTTTGTTTCACATGGTTGTCTCATCTTGCTGGTTTGGGGCTCAAGTGGGTGGGGCTCAGTTGGAAAAGGTGATGTCATGTACTTCATTTAAAATTATGAGCAGATCACACCCACACAGTCCTGTTGACACAGATTACATTTTTTGAAAGTCTCTTACAAAATTATAAGTATGGATGTGTTTTCTGAACTTTAGCTTAGTTTGTTACTCCTGAATGTTGAATGTCATGGAGAAGTACGTCTGATCTGAAACATGTTCAAAGACTTTAAGAAGATCTTTTCAAAGAACACAAGATTTTGAGGCTTTGCATATCAATTAATTATGAGATTTAAAATAAGATAGTGAAGCTTTTAGTGATGCTCCTGGGATTGTGTGCTAAGAACACATCTCTGCTGTTAGCTGCCATTGTATATCTTACCTAGACGGCTCCAAATAAAGTCTATGATCCTCTTTATAAGCCTGGTAATTGGACTAAATTGCCATTTTCATTTAATTTATTCAGTGTGATATCATGTTCATGTTACGGATAGGGGAATATTAAGTTTTGTAATGCCCCTCAATGTCATGTTAGATGCTAGGGGCTGTTAACTTTTCCCGTTGATCAAAGAAATACATTGATTTTAGAATTTTTATTTCTATAATCGATTTACAATAACTTGTGCAGCTGCGTCAACGTCATTTTTGTTTGATGGTATTTTTCTAGCACTATTGTTTATAGGCGCTGCACCAGACCCATATGAATAGCTAAGGAAATCAAAGACATTGGCGTCACTTCAGAGGTCTGACACCAGACTCGGGCATTTTCATAATATTCAGTTAAAGAACACCATTGCCCAACGCAAAAGGTCCTGTTAATTCTTGTAAAGCATTGGTAAAGTCATACTTTATTGAGTCAACCTTGCCAAAGTTTATGCAACAGTCTGCAGCTTAAAACACCTCACTAGATTGAGTATTTATGATTAATCAAACTATAAATTTTCTAGATATATTTATATTTTCAATCTTTTACAGCTTCCTTGTTGCACCCATCTGACTATACTGAATCACCATTGCCACTGACTGGATCAGTAGCTTTTAGCAGTGGAGCTCCTGACTGGTGACTGAGAGCTCCAATATTAACTCATCTGTGATACACAGTGCGTTACTTCTTCGTTAAAAAGCTTAGAAACAATGATAATGTAACAATATTGTTGTAAATAGATGGCTGCTGAGCCATTAACCTCATAAACAGTATTTGTATGGACATAGTTTTGTACTGGATTGAAAGTAATAGTTTGAACCAGCAACATAATGAATGTACTACTTAGTTGAAGACACTCAGATGCAGCGCTGAAGGTTGTGGTGGGATGAACAGTGATGCCTACTGTGTACATACTGTGATGCAATTGCTGAACTTGCTATGTAGTGAATGAACTACATAATCAGTGACTTTGAGTCTTTGAATCAAACTGAACGAAATTATTCAAATAAGCAAAGTTATGTGTAATTTCCACCTCTCATTTCCATTCATCACATTCCATCTACTTCTCTGTCTCTCTCTTATCTCTCTGTCTTTGTATGGCACCAGTGTCCACCCCCTACTGATGAATCCATGTGTCTGAATCATTGCGGAAGTTCCCTCTACCTGTAAACACTTGTGGATGGCTCCATTATAATTGAGATCAATGACAGATTAAGAACAGGATTAAGGTTAAGGTGAAAGTAGGGTTAAGGAGGTTATGGTACAAGTGAAACAGCAAGCAAAGCGAGACCGTCTCGAGCTGTTGTGTGCTGTGCTGAATGGAAATGAGAGCCTGCTCTCATTATAACTCTGCTCACTGAACCAAAACAATGAGCACAGTTAGGGTTATGATGTTAATGGGCGTGCCCTGACCTTCTTTACTGCAGCTACAAACTTTTGGACAGGAATATAAAGCAACATTTTTTTGTTTTTCAGCTTAAGACTCAAAGCAGATATTAATTAGCTGTCCTGGGACCGGTAGTCATGGATACACATTGATACTCTGTCGCCATCAGAAGCAGACCCATGACCCATTTTGGTCCCAGATCTTGTTGTTTCTAGGAACCATGTTATAGGGCCATGGATACAGTAGTACTTACTGTCAAAGCTTCTTTTTTTAAACATCTGTTGTAGATTAAGGTTGTGCGGAGGGTTGGAAAAGAAAATTCAACAAATGTCATGGTGAACATTTTGGACAATGTTACACTACAGAAATCAATCCAGGGATATAAACTGATCAAGCAATTTGGTGACTAGCTTTACAGAAATCCCATTTTACAAATCTATATCCACTAAAATATGGTTTGCTTGAACCAGTTCTGAAAAGTAACACAGAAGGTCACAAGTAAAATGTATATCTCAGTTCCACAATTGGTATTTAAACAGTAGCCTATTTCTCTGAACAGCCTTGAGTATTTAAAATCTTGATATGATGTATTTTAAAACATACAGTGAACAAAATTATAAATGCAACACTTTTGTTTTTGCCCCTATTCATCATGAGCTGAACTCAAAGATCTAAGACTTTCTCTATGTACACAAAAGTCCTATTTCTCTCAAATATTGTTCACAAATCTGTCAAAATCTGTGTCAGTGAGCACTTCTCCTTTGCTGAGATAGTCCATCCACCTCACAGGTGTGGCTTATCAAGATGCTGCTCATACAGCGTGGGTATTGCACAGGTGTGCCTTAGGCTGGCCACAACAAAAGGCCACTCCAAAATGGCTGTATGATGTTTGTTTAACCGTTACACAAACATACATTTAAAAACCACAAGTTGCAGTTTTACAGAAACTCCAGTCAAGCTAAGCTAAGCTAACCATCTCCTCTGTAGCATCATGTTTAACAGACAATTATGAGAGTGATAGCAATTGTCTCTTCTATCTCTCAGCAAGAAATTGAATATTTTCCGAATGATAAACAAAGATGTCCCATACAGATTATAGTGCTAAGACAAATTCGGACATTTGTTGTCATGGACATATCTTTAAGTTCATTTCGGGGACTCTCATCAAACTTGCATTTTAAAACACTGAATGTGTGGTTATGACCTGATAAAATGTTGTAAAGTTTATATTCCCTTTCTAAGAAGACAGTCTCACAGTGCCAGCCCACATTTTGTCTCTGGATTATGTTGTACAAGAGATGCCCAGTCCTGCAAAGGAAAGATGTGAGCAACAGCTGGGATAAATGGCTACAGAGTAAAAGCAGCCTCATTGGGTTAGTGACACTGTGTTAGTGAATGAATCGGTTGCCTGAAAAGGGGGTATGTTTACTATCTGATTAGCAGTTGACCTTGGGACAGATCAATAATGTAATGTGTTTGATACTGACGTCATGGTCAATAACTGTCACACTTGTCAAGATGGGGATAGAGAAAACACAAGTGTGACAAAGAAAGGGTGTGAGATAGAAAAGAGTAAAAAAGACTCAGATGAGGAGAGTGCAAAAGTGGGAGTTAGAGAGAAAAAGACAATAAGAAAGTGAGACAGAAAAAGTAATAGAGAGTGAGAGAGATTTCCGCATTATGCCAACAATGTTGGCAGGCAGCCTGAGAGAGCGCAGAGAGGCTGAACTAAAGGCACACACACACACACACACACACACAAACCTGCTCTTATATTCTCATAAGATTACTTGCGTATTATGTGAATGTATCTGCTGTGTTTGTTGAAGGTACATGCATGAGGATACGTGAGCTGATTCACTAAAGATCCAATCCTATTAGTCCTGATGACAGTCTTCTGCTGAGGGCAGTGTGACCACAGCTTGCTACAGCTGCTCACCTCACTCATCGCACAACACTGATAAGTCACGCAGAAAGAGACAGAAATAAATGTAGACAAAGTAAAGTTAAAGAACACATCAGTCACTGGGTTGTCATATATCAAGGTGATTAGTTCTTTCCCTCCTTGTATTATTCTGCATTTTAAAAGTTGCACTAGCGATTTGTGTGTTTTACAGCCTCTGTAACAGCCTAACAGACCTGCAATAAACAGATTGGCACGTACCACTTAGACCTCAAGCATAGCCAGAAATACTCTGATGGATGGACCAACGCTTTGTCACATGTACAGCCTCATTCTAATAGAAGTGGTCTGTGCTCATACAGTATTGTATGGGAGGAGTGGCAAGTGCTCAGTTTGTTAAGTTGTATCTAAATTACAGCAGACTGTCAATTTAAATATAGAGTGACACTGGTGCTTTCACAGGAAAACACTAGTATAAGTAAAAGACCAGATATCCCAAGATATTGTGAAGGCTATGACTTGCTATGTTTAAATTAAAGCAACACTATGTAAGATTAATTTTTTTGTGCGATTGGGCGCCCCTACCATTTCAGAGTGTAATTCACAGCTTTCGTAAATAAGAACAGCTAAACGCGTAAACTAGCAAGTCGACAACGTTGCCAACACAGCCAAACATAAAGCTGAATCCAACAATCACCAAATCAGTTAGAGTTAGATGTGAAAATATTCTGGCCCTACACGCCTCTCTGATGCCTGACCTCCCTCTTGCTCCTCCCCTGCTTGATGCCTCTCTTGTCCCAGCCTGAACCCGCCGTGTCTTCGTCGTCCTTGGAGTGCTGTTCGGAGCCGCAGTTAATCACCTCTGTACTGTATTCCCCTCATCAAACTGGGCTCCGTCGGTCTCGGAGGCTGTGTTTGGTTCCGGTCTGGCCGTGATCACTGGGAGTCTGCTGAGCCCGGTTCCTTTGCCCTACCCACTTTCACCCACTTTCAGTCAGCTAATAGGACTGCTAAGATGTG